TCTAAGCCAGCAGATTGACAGGCCAACGAGGCGGTAATCGAAGCTGCTGCTGATGATGAAGAAAGCTGAACACACAAAGAGAGCGCGCGCGGGGCTGCAGACAGAAATGAGTCCATCGACATGTACGATAGGAGAAGCCTGATAACGAGGATCTCTGTGTGCTGACAGTAATTAAAGTGATGCGACTACCACCACCAGCACCAGCAAGTTCACATTGAAACTTCACATCGTAGCCGATCGAAGATCAAATTCCACTGCTTCATCTGCTTCAACTGGTGTCCACAGATACACCACACTGGCTCCTACACTGCCAGCTCACTGATAAAGTGTCAATAGAGGCAAAAACTTGAACAGTGAAGAGCAGTGATACTGCCGGTGGCGGTGATTGCTGATAACACCAGAAAGAGAGGACCAGGACACACTGACAGAGACTGCTGAACGGTGGCTAAAGGAAACAAAGGAAGCGCTCTGTGTGTGTGAGGTACAACAAAAAGTCGCTTACAGATGGGCATCAGAGGTGGTGATGGTAGCGAATTGAAGGCAACTGTGCCGTTGAAGGTTTCGCCGGATGGATGCATCGGCTGAAATGGAAAAGAAATGAGAGAGTTAGCACAAGCGAGAGAGCTTTACCNAAGAGAGAGAGGACCAGGACACTCTGCTGAACGGTGGCTAAAGGAAACAAAGGAAGCGCTCTGTGTGTGTGAGGTACAACAAAAAGTCGCTTACAGATGGGCATCAGAGGTGGTGATGGTAGCGAATTGAAGGCAACTGTGCCGTTGAAGGTTTCGCCGGATGGATGCATCGGCTGAAATGGAAAAGAAATGAGAGAGTTAGCACAAGCGAGAGAGCTTTACCAACACGATGGGATACCTGGTGGCGAGGATCTTCGGGTGAATCCACTTCGTCTCAAGGTTCGCGCGCGCTGTCTCGTCTGATGAAGACTGGAGGGAAAACAACAGCAGAGGCAGAGGCAGATACGGTGAAGCAAAAAGAGTGGCGGTTTCAAAAGGGCGTCAACGACAGCAACAGGAGCGGATCAGCATCAATGTTAATAATTGTTCGCAGTGCAATTCTCAAGCAATTCGCATGTTGACCCAAGGCATTCAGGACACCAAATGAAAGTTAAAGAGGTGGTAACGCTGTTATGAGCAAAACTGGGTTGAAATCAGTGCTATACAAGGGTGAAAATCGGGTCCCAAAAGAGCAACCCAAAATCAGGCAGAAGCGACAAGCGCCGCCCAGAAAACACGCAAAAAGTCGCTGACTTGCCTTATTCGGAGACTTTTACAGGCGCCTAGACATCTCTCCAGCAAAAACAAGTGACCGAAACTGAAAAAGTGGCGTCAGTAAATATCTGAAAAACGGGACATGCTAGAGCCAAATTTTTTTCCCAAAAAGAATCAGAAAAATTAAACGCTAGGAGTTTCATTTTGCTCGTTTGGACCTTTCCTGAGATCAGCTGGAGCCCCTGGTACAGAGTACCGGCCAAATCGAAAATATCTTTGCTGCCGGCAACTATTCCCAAAAAAACTTGAGCAAGTTTTTCCCGCACGAGTGCACTTGATGTTGATGTTGATTTCAAGTACAAGTGTTTACTTGAGTATCAGTACTGCAAACATCAACTACGACCACCACCATCAGGACAACATCCAAGTCAGCCCTAGCCCAGCCCCAGCAAGCATGACCAGCGTGATACCAAAGGTGACGCAGCTGTCGTCGCGTGTCATTCGCGTGCTCGGCTGCAACCCGGGCTACTACACACTGCAGGGCACCAACACCTAGTGAGTACTAGAGCAGAGACAACCAGGAAGTGTTCACTAACTGAACTGAACTCCCCTGAACAGCATCATCGGCACTGGGAAGAAGCGAGCGTTGATTGACTGCGGCGAACCTGACGTGCCCGAGTACATTGACAGCCTGAAGGAGGTGGTCAGCGAGCACGGCTTCTCCCTCTCCAAGATCATCATCACCCATTGGCATCCGGATCACGTCGGCGGGACGAGGGATGTGCTGAAGCACGTCGCCGACAAGGGTGAGCACTATCACTGAGTAACCACAACTCAATTCTGACCCTCATTACCTCCCCCGCAGACTGCAAAGTCTTCAAGATGAAGAATACTCAACACGACCCACTCTACTCGGACTTCTTCGAGCTGAACTTCGTCAATGACCAGGACGAGGTGGAGGTGGAGGGGGCGACGGTGAAGCTGCACTGGACGCCGGGCCACGCCAAGGACCACCTGGCACTGTACCTGAAGGAGGAGGACTCGCTCTTCAGCGGCGACTGCGTCCTCGGCGAGGGCACCGTCGTCTTTGAGGACCTGCTCACCTACCTCCAGTCGCTCAACAAGATCACCGCGCTCAATTCGAAGCGCCTCTACCCGGGCCACGGCCCGGTGGTCACTGACCCGGTGGAGAAGGTCAACGAGTACATCGACAAGCGCATGTCCAGAGAGCGGCAGATTGTGGAGGCGCTGTCGCGCATCGACGGTGGATACCTCACCTCCATGGAGATTGTCAAGATTACCTACAATGTAAGTCGATGGTGGTGGATGATGATGATGATGATGATAACTGATGTCTTGCCTTCCCTCAGGACTCCCTGCCGCCGTCGCTGATGTTCGGCGCCGAGCACAACGTGCGCATGCACCTGGAGAAGCTGATCAAGGAGGACCGGGTGGAGACGCTGAAGCTGGCCAACTCGGTGGACGAGGAGCTGGCCACCATCAAGTACCGACTCAAGAGAAGTGCCGACTAGACGTGCCAATACACTGTACTTGTTTCCTGATCTGTTGTTATATATTATTTAATGTCTGTTATCCTTTGATTCCTGTTATTAAAGTTGTTGACTCAGAAACCAGCAGAGCTGCTGCTTCTTCCTCTACGAACGGCTCACAAAAATCTGCTTTTCTGACAGTGGTACAGAAACACAACTTCTGAGAGCGGTACACAAAACAGAAGATCATCCCATCACCAAAAGACTTTATTACTTGTTCTTTTCAGCTCGCAGCTTCTGCTGTACACTCTGGGTCACTACTCGTCGCCTGTGCTGCTCCTTTTTGGCCTCCTGGCCTCTCAACTTCTGCGAGAGCTTCTTCTTCTTGCCTCGCTTGCTTGGCTTGAAGCTGTCCAGCTGCAGGGGCGGGTGCTGAGTTACAGAGTTCGAAGCCGCCTCATCATCACTTTCGGTGACGTCCACCTGCTTCAACTTCTTCGCCTTCTTCTTCTGCTTCTTCAGTTCCCCCTTCTGCTTCTGCTTCTCCGCCGCCCTGAGCACGTCCATGGTGGGATTGGGCGCCCGCTCGGCGCTGCTCACCATGGAGAGGAGGTTCGCGTCGAGGGCAATCAGCTCGTGGTTGACCTTCTCCAGGAGGGCCTTCACCTCCATCTCACGCCGCTGCGTCCGGCTCATGTAGGGGTTGGCCTCGAAGGCGTCAAAGTTGGGCTCTCCGGCACCGGGAATGAGCAGCGAGGTGAAGCCCGACTGGTGGCCGACGCCGAGCACGTCTTCGTAGGGGCAGAACTGCAGCGAGGAGATGATGCTGCTGCGCGAGTCCAGTCGGTGGCGCATGTACGGCTGCTCGATGGGCTGGTCGCCGGCAAAGAGCTTGTACACCTCCACCAGGTCGCCCGAGGAGACGGCCAGCAGGTTGCGCTGGCTTAGATCAACTCGGCTTGGAACGGTCCTCAGCTTGGCGTTTGCCAGACAGCGGTAGGTGTTGCGCAGGTCCCAGAGGCGAACGCTGCGATCCGCCCCGGTGGTGACCATCACCTGGCCGCGCTGGTCGACGGCAATGTCCCGCAGCGCGGAGGGGTGGCAAAGGAGCGAGACGAGTGGCTTGTTCGGAACATTCGGTGACCACATCTTCACGGTGCCATTCGGATGGCCGCTGATGGTGATGGCGTTGGCGGGGTTGTGCGTCAGGGCGGTCAGCCGTGGCGTCTGCAGCATTCGGTAGTTGGCCACCAGCTGGCCGACGCTAATGTCCAGCCAGNGACGCTGCGATCCGCCCCGGTGGTTACCATCACCTGGCCGCGCTGGTCCACGGCAATGTCCCGCAGCGCGGAGGGGTGGCAAAGCAGAGAGACGAGCGGCTTATTTGGAACGNAATGTCCAGCCAGCTGAGGAAGTTGCTCTCCGAGGCGCCTACCAGCAGAAAGTGGTAAGGAAGAAAGTCGAGTGCGTACGACTGGTGGAAGCGCTTCAGACAGTGAATCTCGGTGCCCGCCTCGTCGTAAACGTAGGTCCAGTTGGCCTGGGCCACGGCAAAGAGGGTGGGCATGTGCAGCCACTGGACGGCGTGCACCGACTCGCGAACGTTGA